AGTTTGAAAGAAAATTCTGACCTTATTTTTGGAGTTTTTCCGCCTGCAACGAAATTACGAGTACAACTTTGTCCATACATTCTCATAAGAATCAACCCCTATGCAAATAATAATAAATCTTCAAAGTTATTCCATTCTCCACGAGTTGTCTTCCCGCCATAATAAAAAAGGACTCGAGAAACATCAAAAATTAAAAATGGCGCTACCATCCCCTTTTTAATACCTTCCCTTCAGAGACCCATAAACAAGTCTTGCCTTGTTCGGGAAATTAATTCACTTTTTTATCTCGGAATGGCATTCTCCTCATTACAGCCTTGGAAATTTAGGAAAATATAGTAATAATATATCATATTTTATAATATTATTTTTTATTAATTATGCTGAACATGATTGGTCTTCACAGCACTCCAAAATACGTATAACTCGAGTACTCTCAGAAATAAGTGTCAAATGAGACATTGAAAAATACCCAATATAAGTAGTAAAAATTTAAAATTGCGAACTAGCAAACTGACACCTCAAGAATTCAATTATCATTTAGAATGAAAAAAGTCGTATATCTACTTCAGAAACCGTACTGGGTATGCAATCAATTTTTTGATGAAACGTCGTGATATAATACTTTTAATTTTGTTTAGTTAGGATGTATGAACCCCTCTGACAATTATGTGCATTGTAATCTGACGCGTTATTGTCTGAAAAAATTTTGTAAGTACATACCTGAACTCCCATTCTTGAAACGGGGGATTAGAATCACTGAGAGGAAGTGGGCGTGGTTTTTCTTGCTTTTCAAGGAACTGTATTCCTGAACACTGATAGAATGATCGCCCCGAAGTCATACTCTTTGTGATAAATCGTTTAATAATGAGAAAGCTAGAACAGATTATTGTGCCGAAAATAGATGCACTCACACATTTATTTGAAAAACGTCAAAACACACGTCAAAAGCTTTCAGAAAACGCAATAGGACACTCTACTAGCTATTCTCTAATTTTCAGTGGAGTAGTGAAGTGTTGGTACTACGGAGTCAACAAAAGGAACAAAGGTGGCCTAGTTGCCAGGCTTCGTCTCCCCATCACTACCATCACTACTACTACATTTCTGACAATTTTTACTTTTGCTTAGGTGCTACTATTCGTCGTTGTTTATGAGGGCGGTGCAGGGGACATTTGCTCTTAGTTAAAAGTCTCGTCGGTCTGTTAGTCTATGAGGTATAGTATTTTTTTTATACCGAAGCAGCCGCGCAGGCAGAAGCCTAAATACCGGAACCCCGCGTCTGCTATGATGATCCCAACGAAATTTTGTTAATAAAATTTGAACTACCTAAGGTTAGTCGAAGTGGGAAAAGCTTCCTCTTGTAGATTGTTCCACAATATAGACACCCTCGAGACAAAGGAGCGGTATCGACCACTTTGGATGTACGAAGTTCGACACGGTTAGGATGGGACGCCAAAATCAGGCGGGTCTGTGTAGCGATAGAAAAGAGCTAGATCGCCGACGGGCCGCCGGTGCGAAAGGGTTCCGAGACTGTCTGTTAGATAAGAGTCATCTATCAGTCGGCCCTCCCTCCTCTTGACAGCATCGAGCATAAATAATGTAGTCGGGACGGCAGCACCTCAAACGTGTGAGCAATACTCGAGGCTAGGCCTTATCTGCGCCTTGTATAGAGTGAGAAGGTCATGAGGAGAAAATTACTTCTTAGCCCTGAACAAATAGTCTAGCCTTTTGCCAGCAGCTGCCTCTATTGGCGAGATGTGTTCGTGCCAAATCAGGTCCTCGATGCTCCGGACTCCGACCAGCCGAAATGAATGGCTCTTTGGCAGAACTCGGCCATCCATCGAAATCGGATGAGCGCTAGGTCGCTTTTTGTTCGTCAAAGTACAGTACTGTTTTGGAAGCATTGTTGCGTCACGATTGTTGCGTCCCCAAGCAGTGATAACCTCCAGGTCTCTCGTCAGAGAGAGTGCTGTCATCAGCGAAGCTGCGAATTGGGTTGATCGTGCACAAAAAGAGGTCGTTGATATGTAAAAGCAACAGTGCCGGACCCAAGACCGATCCCTGGGGAACACCCACGTTGACGTTGTGGGATGAAGAGGAAAACCCATCAATTACGATGGATATCTTGCAGCCAGAGATAAAGTCAGCTTTTCTGGGAGGCCATAGGATGGAAGTTTGCTTAAGAGGGCAGCGTGCCACAGCTGATCGCACGCTTTCGTAAAGTCAAGAGCAACGACATGAGCCTCACCATAAGACTGGATAAGTTTACTCCACAATTGCGTGACGTAAGCTAGGAGGTCCCCTATGGATCGTTGGTGCCGGAAACCATACTGCATGTCGCTAATCAAGCTGTGACGTTCGAGGTAGTCCAGAAGCTCGCGATTTATGCACCTCTCCATCACCTTACTTATAACAGAAGGCAGAGCTATAAGACTATAGTTGTAAGGGTCTGTCTTAGACCCTTTTTCTGGGATTGGTTGGACATGAGCAAATTTCCAGTTTTCTGGGAAGGTGCCGGATTCATAAGATATCCCGAAAAGGCGCGAAAGAACTGGAGCAAGCTCCGCTGCACACCTCTTCAGTACAATGGCTGGAATCAAGCCCGGACCAGAAGCTTTGTTGATATCGAGCGACAAGAGCACTTATCCTACGGTCTTATGCCTGAATGTTACCTCTTGTATAATATATGGAACCCTTTAAATTGTTGGCACTTGGGCTTTGGGGGGGACGCCCATGGTGGAGTTGGCAGCAAAGATCCTGGCAAGCACTTCCGCCTTGGCTTTGAGTCGGATACAATCGTTCCATCCTGACACGTAAGTGGTCAAAGGCTACTGTGTGAGAAGTTCTTTTCAATCTGCTTGGCCAGCATCCAGAAAGACCGACAGCCATTGCGCTGCGACATTATTCTGCGCCTAACTGTTATATCCTAGTGGTTTTTGGCATTGCGAACCGCTTCGTTATATTTGTTTCTGGACTCGACTTCGACTTGTCTGTTCTCTACAGTGGGGTTTTGTGAGAAGGTTCTATGTGCCTTGATCTTCTGCTGGCGAGCAGTGTCACACGATTTGTTAAACCAGCCGTTGGACCCTGGTTTAGGGACTTTCACTGTGTGAGGGATGTATTCCTCCATTCCGACGTGGATAATTTCGGTTATCGAAGAACAGACGGCCGACGCATCCGCGTCAGTGAAACAGGCATCTCTCCAAGGAAAAGTAGAGAAGAAGTCTCTGAGCCCCTCCCAGTCGGCATGTCCGTAATGCCAAGTTTTGCAGCCTGTACGAGTGTGTGCAACCAGAGCGGGTTCTGAACGAAACCTAACCTCCACAACACCGTGGACCGAGTTACCCAGTGGGAACAACTACAGCAGTGTTGTAAGGGACAGGATGCGTGGTCAGAAAGAGATCCAGCAGGCTACTGGCATGTGACGAGACACGGGGGAAAAAATTAGCGCTCGTCACCAGCTGGATCAGCCCTTGAGTAAGAGCGAACGCTTTGACTGCACGACCTGCTGCATCGGTCTTGTTTGAGCCCAATCAACTCTCATTATGGGCATTGGAAGTGACGCAGATGCCAAAAAAGTTTAAGGGAAAAAGAGAAAGAAAAGAAAAGGGTAAATAAAAAAACGTAAATCAGTTGAAGAGGAAGAGCTTAATAAACAGTATTAGTTGGTCAGACACGCAAATTTAATTTTGCTTGTCTGTGCCTCGCAACAGATGGTTGCTGTACGATTCCGCTCCAAAACTTGTTGTTTTACGTAATCCCTCAGACTATAGACTTCACAGTCGCTGTGGCAAGCGACGTCATACACACAAAGTGAATAAAGGATAGATCCTAAGACCAAACCCTAACGAACACCGGCCCCACGGGCCGTGTTGTTGACGAAACATTGTTGATTTTTATCTGAATCCTGCCTTCTAGAAAGGAGTTTAAGAAGCCAAAATTAAAAGTTCTTTTGGATCGCCTTACATAAGTGCCTATGTGTCACACCTTATCGAATGTACTTGTTTTGTTAAGTGTGAACCCCGTGGTTAGATGCTCCACCAGTCTAGCTGCCTGTAACTCCGTAGTATGCTCAGACCGAAACCCAACTGCACGTCAGGAATCCCAAGGTGATCCGACGAGAAATTTTCTAGGTGACGATGAATCACATTTTCAGAGACCTTAGAAATCTGTTTTGATGTTTAATAAATAGGACTGTGAATGCATTAGACTTCGGAAAAATAAAAGTTCCTAGGCTTTTCATATTATTGAGTGTTTATAAGCACAAAGTTAACTTCATATTTAGATATGAGACATGAACGACGGCGAGACCTCCTCACTTCTCCTGGTAGTGACCCGGGAGCGACTCATCTATCGATGTTAATGAATACAGTTCTTCGAAAAGTAATAATACGATGCCCTTTTTCTATTGATTCACTCCCGCATTTTCAAGTTCAGATCGTCTGGAGGCTTTTGACTAAATTCGAGAGGCTATTACGAAACAGGAAACAGCCTAGATGTAGCCCGACACTCGCGCTTTACATCGCAGATGAAAATTAAAAATTGTCTGATGTACGCTCGAAACTTGTACAATAGAATGCGCGTTGTTCTGTCGGAACGCATAACTGCGTGATGTTCATAACTGCTATTATTTCTTTTATTCTGCAGCACAAAAAATCATATTTAATATACAGTGCATCCTGAAGGCCTGCTACAGTTTGTTGCACAAATTTTGTGCTCTACAAGTTTAGATACGAGTATAATTATGACAATGAACCTTCAAGCAAATATCTTACATAAAAAAATATTAGACGGATAGAACGGTTTATTCGTTGATTCTCCATGTTGGTCCGTTTTATAAAACAATTACCTATTAGTTACTGAAAATACTGTTACGGAATCTTTTAAAAAAATATTATTTATCACTGATAGCATTTTTATACAGGAGTTGCTTCTGCAATTTTAAAATTAAATTCAGCATTCATCATCCAGTAAACTTATACGAGGACTATCGCCTGAAGAGCATGGCACTTCTGAGGTATTTACAAAAATTGATACTTCGTTTGTTTATACAGGGTATAAAGTACTTGGCCAAACTTCAAGAAGTGATTCCATGGGCGATTCCAGAAAAGTCCATATAAATATAGTTCCAGAAATTTATAGTTAAAAAAATATAGGGTGTCGTAAATTGTTATTAAGGAGACTAATTAAGAACAAAACATGAATATTCATCAGGTGAAGCCGTAGTGGAACTACTTCCCTAAAATTTCTCAAGAGAGACATTTCATATAAAATTAGATGCTTTATTCTAAAATGCAATAGATGTTGCCAAAGAGTCAGTGGCGCAGAAATTATTTTTAATTCATTTTTGTTCTTTAGCGTTCAGAATATCAGTGTATCTATGCCACTGGTGTAGTTTGAAAAATATTTGTATACAGGGTGTTTCAGAACAACGTGGTAATATACCTAAATTTAAGAAAAATATAACTACAGATATTGACTAAAAATTTTTGTAGATACATGTAAAACTGTTTGTATTTGAGACTGCACCAGTGGCATAGAAATTGGGAAATTTTGACACCTACAGAAGTAAAAACCATTTTCTGCGCCACTAACTTTTTGAATCATCTAATGCATGTTGAAGTAATTTATTCAGTTTTACAAAAAAAGTGTCAGACTACCCCATTTGGTGAGAAATTGGTTTATTTGAGGTAAAATCCGCATAAAGAGCCTCAATCCGTTGTACTTTGAAAATACACTGAAGTTAGCGAAGTTTGACGTTAAATAGTATATATGTATTACGTTAGTAATCCTATCTCATCATAGCGTTATTTAAACAATATTCATATTTTGTCCTTATTCAGTCGCATCAGTAGCCAATAAATTTACGACAAATCTTGGTAATGCGACATTTTAAAACCATATTTGTACACAATTTCAAGACTACAACTGTATCCATTTCAGACAATCAATTAATTATTCACCGCTTTAGAAATTATAACTCTCAGAGTAAGGGGAATTTTTAGGCTCACATGAACTTCTTACAACTATTCAATAATCACCTACGGAACACCCCTTGAGATATGACGGGGCACTTTATTAACGCCTTGTGTATCTATCCTATCCTATCAATAGCTTTTTCGACCAGCTTGAAAATAACAAAAAATAAAATCGCTACTTTTTGAATTCCTCATCTTATGTCAACAAAATTAGGAGCTTAGGACATAATACATATGTGAATGTGAACCAACGTTAATCCTACCCTTAATTCCAGGTCTGAACTGCATCAACTACGACAAGGTCAACCTGCAAGCCCACCCCACTTAGACAAAAACGACGCCCTAACCATAAAATGGCTCTCCCAAGCATTGAACGAAGTTCGCTCCGAACTGAGCGAACTGCAGGTGGCACTGAACGCCACCGCCGCGCTGCGTGAGCGAGAGTCGACGCGTGCGGATCTGCGATTGGTGCGTGGCGAGGTGAAGACGGTGGGAGTGGAGCTAGAGCGAGCGAGGAGGCGAGTCTTCGAAGCGGAGGCAGACCGACAGACGCTTAGGGCGGAGCTAACAGCCGCGCAGGAGGGATGGCGTGGTACTGCTGTGGCGTGCGGCAAGGCGACTAATCAGGTACGATTTAGTTCGGTTTAAGCCCACTCCAATTTGCCAGGAAATATTGTAATTCCGAAGTACTTTGAAAATTAGAAGTTTTTTAAATAGTATAAGTATGTAATACACGAAATACGAGGTCACTGATTTCTGTCGGTCTGTTCACTGATCCTTAACTCCTCTATTACTTGGAAATTATCGTTCGGATATTGATCACACTTTGAGACAAGGTTACTACTATCCCAATTACAAAAAGCTTTATAGGTTTTTATCAGATTTTTTTGAAAATTGCGGCTTGGTGCTGTAAGTGGAGTAGGGTTGTAAATATTGTACCTGAGTGACGTTATATTATTAAGAAGCTTTTGATCTCGATGTTATTTTGGTACTTAAGATGCTGGAAGGTTCAAATGACGCAAATTTCGCTATACGTCTTGAGTTCTGAGCCTCGCCTTGACAGCAAAGTTGCAGTTATACGTCCCGGATCTTCTCTTTGCCTTACGCTATAGGCGTACGGCGTATGTTTTACCACAGGTTGGATGATCTTCCTGTGGCAGCGCTAGGAATATATCACATATGTGCAATAGTAAGCATAATATAGATAAGATATAATATTCACATACGTACATAGAATTACCAATGGAACAAATTTGATAGGTTTATTTTTATGGATTGAGATGTAGAACTGTACTTTTACGATATAATAATAATAAACGTACACAGGGTGTCCAATAAGTACCACGACAAACTTAAGGAGAAGGTAGACTTTGGACTGACCTCCCAAATAACAAAATCTTACCTATATAATAGTGTCACCGTTTTTTAGATATTTAATTTTTTTAATGTAAAAAACCTTTTCATCTGTTATCCTTAGCTGCATATACAAATAAGGTTATACTTTGTTCATTTTCGCTATAAAATAAAATACTTCTAGATAGTTGCTTTATAATATACAAATGCAATGTAGTTAAATGATATTAAGGAACCATGATCAAATAAGGAATATTTTGGGATTTAGCGCCTTCTGATATTGTTTCCTCTTTAAATCACAGACCGTAGGCCTGGGATTAAGCCGATCATAATTTAATTGATGACAGAATTTCAAGGGAAATATAGACAGTACAGAGCCAACCCATTCGCGGGAATTTTTAATCTCATTTCCATCATTTACCCAAACTTGTGCCTATTCGGACGAATAAACAAAAAAGGCTGGTGTAACTATGCTAGACAATTAGCGTAGTAAGAAAGCGTATGCATCACTCCGTACGATGGAAATATAACGACTTTGCCAATCTAAATATTGACTATACTAACGACCGTGAATGAAATCAATCAAATGAGAGGATTCTGTTCTCAAAGTGTATTTCATTTTATTTCAGAAACGTTCCTAATTTATTTAAAACTATAACAATGTAGACATAAATCAAAAATATATATATATATATACTGTACGACTTCCAATTATTCAAAAGTCACTTTTACAGAAGTGCTGCATATATGGGAGCAACCTAAATGTACTATTATTTGCTATTGTATACATTGTCTACGGTGTTTACATTGTCTACTCTACACGAATATCAAGACGTATACAATTGCAATTGTAAACGAGTATACAATCGTGTATTTTACTTATAGTGTACCCATCACTGGCAATGATCACACCAAGGTCCAATCAGAATCAAATTACCCAGCAGCTACTGTAATCGACAAATCATTTATGTTCCAACCCCGTCTACAAGGTAGCAGCAAAAGTGCCAAGGTATTTAGTTATTATTTTTTCGCAGTTTAAGCCTATTTATTGGAGAAGCCACCAAACTCCAAATTTTGGAAGACCGCGCGTGTGTAAAATCATGTTTCAAGATAGTAACAAAAGTGACTACGGAGTCGCATATATTCATTGCCATGAGCCAGTTTTTTTTCAGTCCAAGGCAATGACTATTCCTTGGAACGGTCACCAAACTCCAAACCTTAGGCAATGATCTTATAATGACGCGCTACTACTCCATCACGTTGCGCGCATTTTTTCGTCGGGTGCGCGAGACTATAGGCAGGTGGCAGGTGTTTGGTTGCTTGTACCTCCTGCTTGGTCCGGTATTTCTTAACTGTGTCTCACCTGCCATTTCGGACCAATAGTCGCCGTTCAGCTTATACCGACCCGCATAGCTGTATTCGACTTTCATGTTGCCTGCTCATTGCACTACCAGCGACATTCCACACAAAAACTAGATGATAAAAACAAATACATTTTACAAAGATATAAAAAAACAACTGCAGTAACTGAAAAGAATGAAGTTTTAATCGTGCTATCAAGACGAATCTGAGGACACCTCAATTCAAAATGACAAAATCCATCATGCTATTTGGGCATGAATTAGAAGTTTCAAAGGTGAACTTTGCGTTTAAAATCCACCTTTTCGATTTAAATTTTTTTAGTAGAGTCACTAGCACTGTCACTAGACTACAGACTCCTCGTTAAGCTGTAGCCCGTTAAACAGACACTGCAAACCTGAAATGAAATATAATTATTCTTGTCCATATTCAATATATGTATACATACATACATGATGTACACATGATGTAAAACACATGACTCCTTCTGATGCAGTCGGGTAAAGAGTAATTCCGTAATCACTACACACTTCTACCATTCGCTATATCAATAGGTCTATAGTTACTGGATCTAAAATGCGTTTACATTCCAACAAGTTGCGGCACATGTTGCGTGCTCTAATATGTTACAGACTGCTTGCGTCACGACAAATTTCCAGCACATGTGAGGACACATGCCATGGAATAGTTGCAGATAGTATGTAGTAATGATCACGTACTTCAATAATCATATCCAATTCCATTAATGAAAATGGTAATTTCTCTCTCTCTCTCTCTCTCTATATATATATATATATATATATATATATATATGTATATATTGGTATTTAGTGCAATTTTGCCTCTGACATAATCATTACTCTGTAACAGCTTGCTTAAAAAATAAATACTGGTATCACTATAGTTATCAACTCAATTTTTTTGCACGTAGTAGGTAAAGTAGGAAAGCTTACTATATTTTTAATGATGAATTTTACTTTCATTTCTTCAGACAATAAAAAATTTAATGCGATATCCCGTCCTTATATCCATGAGCGGTTCTATTGGCTGCACATCTAGAATCATTGTATACAACTTCTGTGATTCCGAGACAGCTCAAAGAAAAAGAGTAAGTACCCTCTTTTGCCCGCATGCATTAGAAAGTAAAAATTCAATTGTAGGTACAGCGAAGATGCACATGTCTGCATTCCGCAACCTTGAAGGTGTTTTTTTTCTGCTGACCTACTTTGTGACAGTGCAACATTGTTTTTAAATGAAACATCACAAATCGATATAAGTTTGATCTTTGCAAAGTTTCATAATTACTAGAGAATATGTTTCGGTTACGGAATGGCTACCAGAGTCACATTTGAACAGCTTCGACTTTTAACATGATGATCAATGCCTCCGTTTTTCGACTCCTCGTATTATAAAACAATTGAAATAATCAAACTCCTGAAACTTATCCTGATTTTCATGTTCATAGTGCCGAATGAAACCACACATATGTTTAAACATCTCTTAAACTGTCATTGTACTTGAAAAAGGCCACCGTAGTAGCTGAAACGTCATACAATAAACAGAAGTTAAATCATGTATGTGGTTTTATTCGGCCAGATAATCGAGTCCTACAACACTTACAATATTCCATCGTATCTCCAGATTTTCGCGAATCGCTGAATCCGGATTATTCTAATGCATATCTGTAGACTAGTCAGCAAACTTAAATTGCATAGCACAGTCTCCTGCGATACAAACTCAGATACAAAGGAGTACTTGAAGTTGCTTCAACAGCGCAAAGGAACTCCTGATTGCATCTGACGCGAATCCTCAACTTCTAAACAATACGCACATGAGGCAGTCAGTGGCGGAACATTAGATTAATAAGTAGAACACGAAAAGTTTATAAACATAGCTCCTAGATACAGGATGAAGAAGTTATATTTTCCTAGTCCAGAGTAGATAGAAGTTTTGACTAAAAATTTTGTACGTGTAGGACATATAACGTAACTAATAGGAAAATGTAATGACTACACCAGTCGAATATTGCAACTTCCATAGAAAAAACGACGTCGAATAATTTGACTCTCCAACGTATCCAAAACGGCTTCTAGTACAGTTTTTCGTATAGTGCAATCTCATCAGTACACAAAGGCACCAAAAAGTCGTAAGTTTTATTAGAAGCATCAATGTCCTACAGGAATTTTCATGGAAAAATCCTCAGATTGCAGCTATGAGCGTTTCCTTATAAGGTAACCTTATTTCTTTGTAGCTAGAGTATATAGCTGTTTGTTAGCAATCTTTGATACCTGAATATAATAGCTCTACGCACTTTGAATCCTGGAAAAAACATGGACCCACTAGTTGAACTTTATATAGAGAAAAGTTCCTGAGACAACAGCAATAACCATTTTATTGTTTTATATGTCCATGCATTCCGCCTATTCCTGTGAGTAACCAGCATCAACCACAGTCGGTCTCTATCATGTCCGGTGGGTAGGCTAAGGGGCGGGTAAAGTTATGAGTTACGAAACCAGATTTTGGTGCTAAGATTCACATACATAAATGTGTACGACTATAATATTTAATATGTGCTTAGTATTACCGGTAGCGGCTTCTTAAGAGGTAGCACCACTATAACAGCTTACAAAAGCATTTTTGTCATTTTTTTGTGGACAGAAGTTTAATAAAATAATAAAATTTGAAAAAGTTTTCGGCATATATTCATGGAACAAAAAATAAAATTATCAAAAAATATTAAAAAATGTCGGCACCCCAGCGTTTTTCATGAAACTCGATTTTTCGAAACGGCACGCACAATAACTAGAACAGATGTAATTCTTTTCATTCGAATTTATTACAATATCTTCAAAATTGCATTATGAAGAAAAATGTGCAGATGATTTTTTATAAGCTAATTCAATCATTATTTATTAACAAATAATTACTATTCTTTTCGTCAAAAATTGAACGTTTCAATTCAAATACTATCCAACGACATAAACATCAATATTTTTAAAGTCCCTGCTCATTTATTTAGCTATGAGCATGTAAAATATATTGCTTTTCCTTCTTTTTTCTAGATCCACATTTGCAGTAGCTAGAGCGCCTCAAATTATATAGCCCTCGCGAAAATGGCTGCGTTGCCACAAATTTTGAATATTTTCTTATGACCTAATTATATGCTCAATAACCTCGTCCAAAATTTTTATTGTATTACTTTTTTCACAAAAGAAAACATGATAAAGAAGCCACTTTTTAGTCACGTTACTGTGGTGTCACGCCTAATGGCCGTACCAGTCGTTCCTACAATTTTAGGACGCCTTCAAGGCCTCCTTGATGTTCATAGTCTTTCTACGGTTCCGTGTCAGCGTTAGCGCTATCCTATTGTTAGGCTATGTATTCTTCTATAATTGTGGGAAATTTCGGGCTAGATGATATAAATCAAAAGCATGAATAATTTGATGCAATAACCTCAGAATTGAACACTGACACGGAAGACTAGAAAACTATGAAAATCAAGGATTCCATAAAGACGTCCTACAATTGTAGGAACACTGACGATTTGGCCTTTAATTATGAAACGTCTCAATATAACAATACTTACAACCCCCAACTTTCAATCCATCGAAAAAGTTGGCAAAAAATAAGCGATTTTCATATAAGCTTGTTCGTCCTTGGCATAGTAGTAAGTAACCTTGTATCAAAAGTTCATCAAAATCCGACCGGTGCTTCCCAAGTTATAGCGGGGCCAAAGATTAGCGGACAGTACCGACGGAAATGAGAGGCATGGTTTTTCGTCATGTAACTTCCCAAAAATGAGAAATCTTTGTTAAACCACTTCTTGTAAAGAAAAATTGCTTCAAATCTTTGAAGTAAAATCCGTATAAAAATCTTAAATTCAGTCTACTTTGAAAATATGCGGAAATCAATGAAGCTTGACATGCCTGTATCATGTACATGAGACCTAAGTTCTGAGAACCTTTTATTTTTTGCTCCAAAACTGTAGACGTTATTTTGAAGCACCCTGTATTTTATACAGCATCTAAAAAAACGGTCAGATTTCAAATATGCTTAGCGATTAACAATACCGGATCGCTGTTCGATCCTGCTACCAATTTGTACCCAATAATAAGTTTCCTTTTCGGTAAAAGTATGTTACGAATAATCAAGGCAAGCATATTCATGAAGCGCAATACATCAAAAATAATTAGTGGAAAGCTGGTATCCTCCATGTCTGTCTGTCGGTCGGTCCTTACGCAACACTGTCTGCACGCCGCTCGACATATTGAGATATTAATTTGAGGCCAGTCTCTACCCGGCAGATTATGTAAGTTCCAAAACGTTTAATGGATGTAATTTATGCAAGTGCAGGGGCGTAATGGCGCTATAGCACTCTATCAAGGACAATTGGAAGAGCACTTACTTCGAGAGACGCTGAATACGCTCTCACTGGAGATACGAGGCAGACATAGCCGGTATCGATGCTGTTAACCATCAGAATGATATTTGATAGTTAAGTGTACGTTAAATTCAAAACATGTCCTATTCTATATACATATTTTTTTAATGATCGAAGGTACGAATAAATCAGTCTATTCAATTCTAATAGTTTGGACTTCCATGCACCTCTGAATATCCATCATTCGCTGAGGCGGCTTCAGGTTGAGGAAAATGTGAAACTACAAGGTTCGATTCTATTAATAAAACATCACTCACATTTTGTTTTGAAACTAAACTTTTCATAAAGTTAAGTTTTATTATTTTGGCAGGACTCCTCGCCCTACCAGTTTTACCAGTTGGCGGTAAACAACTGATGAGTTCATAAAGATGTCAGCAAAAATTGGCATTCAATCAAAATTCTGAGAATTTTACTCTAGATAA